GTCGTCGGAATCGGAATGGCGAAGCGAGTCGCCGAGATCATAAAGCGGCGACGCCTCGTGGTCGCGAATCCCGGAGAAGTTCTGCTCCAACCCGCCTCGTCCTCCTCCGAGGAGTCGAGTGGGGTGGATTGGAGTTGTGACTATGGGGTTATGGGCATGACGTTGATGAATGGAGACGAGGCGGTGGCGTGAGGAGGGCGGCATTGGTCACCGAAAGTGCAGGGGATGGCGCCGTCGCCATGCTCTGCTCCGTCGAGCCGGCTTTTTCGGGAGGAGGCGGGACGGCGCTTGATGATGGGGGTGTCATGCATGCGCCACCGCCCTTTTCCCCTGCCGAGGCTTAAGCCGGACAGGTCCCGTGTAGGGACTACTGTGCCGTGCGGGGTATGGGATTTTCGTGGAGCACAGATCGGCATTCCATACTTGCGTGGTGTTAGGGTGGACTCGCCACCTTGGCGCTTCGGCGAAGCTTGACGAGAGCGGCGGTTCCGCGCCGCCCGTCACAATTTGTCGGTGCAAGGCGTCGTCGCGTCGGTCGATGGCGCTCTAGGTGAGAGGAGTACCATGTCGTACTCATGCCCTAGAGACATGAATTCTAGGCTTCGAACGGATGATCGCCCCGAGACGCAACGATCGCACGGGATCGCCATCCGGAATCGGTGGGATGACTAAGTCGACACGTGAGAGGCCCCCTACCGGCGCGCCAACCGCCGGTGTTTTGGAACCGGGGTCCTTAACCGACTAGTGAATTTGTCTTTGCGTGCTCCCAATTCCGGATGGAGATGCAAAGAGACACAAGGTTTATATTGGTTCGGGCAATGGATGCCCTACGCCCGATCCCGAGAAGGTGTTCTTGTATTCCTTGCACCGGGGTGCTCGTGAGTGGGGGTTACAAGCTAGGCGAGAGAGGAGTTCGTCCCGGTGTCTCTGTGAGGGGAGGTGATATCAAATTACGTAACGAGGCGTGTTGTTCGATGCGAGTATCTCGTGATTCTATCCATCGTCAGAGAAGCGGTCCTGGCTGCCTCCTTTTATAGCCGCGCAGGAGGAAACCAGGAGTACATAAGAGAGCTACACGCTGAGCAAGGACTATTCGATGGACGTATTTACTCACGGAGCAGCATGGCGTTGTCGTGGGAGTTCCGTGAGATGTCCAATCGGTATGGTCTTCTTTGCAAGTAACATGTCTGCGCATTTATTTATTGACTTTGGTGGATTGCGAGGCTCGGCGGCCTTCATAGCCGGTCGTGTGCGAGGCTCTGTCGTGCCGAGGGCCTCGCCGCGTCGAGGCCCGAGAAGTGACCAGTGCGGATGCACGGGTCTCAAAGCAGACCATCAGCGGAATAGTGCGAGACGGCGCCTACGGGATACTGTACTGTGTTGTCGTGAGGGATGGTAAAAAGGTGATCGACCGTTGTCCCGTCGCTTCTGTTGCGGCAGCCAAGACCGCCGATCGTGGCTTACGTAGTGGGTGCGCCGGCGCATTAATCGGATGTGACACCGCCAGAGAGACTTTTGAGGCGGAGGCGACGAGGTTGTGGAACGAGCCCGGCCTCGGCGAGGCGGGAGCGCGCCGATTCGTCCGAGGCCCTTCCGAGGGGTCTCGGGCGAGGCGGACGGGCGAGGCGGCGTAGTAAGATCGATGAATACGAGACCTGTCGGGGCTCGGGCTAGATGGGGTGGTCGGTCCGCCGATTCCGAGGCTCTGAGGAACCGTTCGACTCCCCACGCTATGCGATGTCCTTGGTGCAGGAGTCAGCAAAGACGGTGGTCGGTAACCCTCGCTCTGTGCCGTCTCAGATGGCAGGGGGTTGACGCGACCGGCGTGTAGCCGGTCACTTCGCCGTACTGTGCCATCGTGCGTCTGTCGGAGTGGTTGGGTGCTTGGATGCGACGTTTGGTCAGAGCAGTTTGGTTGAAGAAGCGGCCACGGGGCTGGTGCCGAGCCGGCCTCGCGCGAATCGGAGAATCGACACTTCTTCCGAGGCCCCGGGCGAGGGGGTCTCGACGAGGGGGCCTCGGCGAGGCGGTCTCGGGCGAGTCGGAGAATCGTTTGCTTCCGCTGGGGCTCGGCGACGGGGTCTCGGGCGAATCAGAGATTTCGGTCGAGACCTCGTTTGTTCATTCCGTTGGTTCTGTTTTTAGGGTCTAAGCAGTTCTTCGATCTTTGCTTGGGGTACCCCATTTTCTGGTATCCGACAGTATGGATGATGCAAAAGTAGATTAGGATGTTGCAATGGTTGGACATATATGTTGCAAGCTTCTGTTCCCAATATTTTATATGTTTTTTAGACGTATGTTGCAAGTGTTTTATCTGCATGTTTCGTATGTTTTATAATGGCTTTTCATGTGTTTTCAGGTGTTTTTACAAGTGTTTCAGACGCATGTTTCAAATGTTTCATGTGTCTTTAGACATATGTTGCAAATGTTGCATCTGGATGTTTCAAAAATAGATCGGGTGTTGCACATATTACAGTGGTGCCGATGGCTGGTGGAGAGCGGCCTGCCGCAGGGCTTTGGCTCCTACCTCGCGCGACATGCCTCACCCTCTCCTCTCCTCTCCCTCCCCTCCCCTCCCTCCATCTTGCCTCGGCGTTAGCGTTGGAGCGGAGGTCATCGAGGGTGCTGCGTTCGGACGTAGGCACTGGCGTGGGATGGGATGCGGAGCATAGGGGGCATGGGATGCGATGCGGGCACAGGTGCGGGAGCAGCGTCCGGACGAAGTCCTGCTGTCAGACGTCCAGGTGCTAGCCCTTCCGCTTTATGAATTATTACCCCCTCTGAATCCGATACTAACATGATCGTTTTAATATAAGACTACTTCACAAATAGCCGAGAATATGGGTGCAAGAAACAGGAACTATAAAAAATAGAGCAGAAAGTGAAATGTCTATAAAATTATATTCTAGTAGCAAATATAAGTGGGTTTTGCCGTTCGATTATTCATCATCGGTCAGGAAAGCTGCAATATTTTCCCAAGTGCCAACTGCCAACCATTCCATTAAGAACAATTGCCAATTGACAGGAACCGTAGCCAATACTTCAGTAAATCAAAGACAAGTACAAATGACTAGCAAAGTTCAGTTCTTACCAAGCGTTAGAATGCGTTCTGCCTTCTGTGTGGACTGCGAAATGATAAACTTTATGAAGTTTGAACCATTCCATCCCACTTGAACAGGCTTCTAAAGGTAAGTTCAATAACCCACAAAAGGATTGGTTATTTGGGTCCGATGCAGTAATAGCAAAATAGTTCATTACCTGCACAATGTGCATTTGACATGATGCATTGGATAAGATAGATTACAACTTATAACTTATCCTGCAACCTTACATAAAAACAGAGGAGTCACAATCGGAAAACCCTTAATAAGTGATTTGACCCATTTTTTCCAATTTAGAAATGGAAGAATCATTAGACTCTTAAAATAACTTTTCCTCTAACGTGCGGAGAACTACACGTCTTTGTATTAAAGATAGAACAAACAATTCGATTGCCTACCGATTTCCACAGCTGGGGTTAGTTTTTTTGTTACAACTGATAACATATTTGGACAAGCAAATGGTAAAATATGTGCAATTAATCTAGAGGTACATGCATAGCACTGAAAGAAAGAGATTGAGTTCATCTGACCTGACATCCTCAACAAGAACTGCGAGCAAACAGCGAGTCTTGGGGAAAATTGTGATAAACAATTCGCTCAACTTAAATAGGCACACAAGGGAAACAAATCAAATTTGATTAGTGAATGAAGGCAACTATTTGCCTTGTGACATTGTGGAGTTAGGTAAATAATCTCTTAATCACACACAAATGTTTATTTATTTTTTGCCTAGTATACATAAATGCGGGTATTAAGTCGTCCAGAGATAACAATACAGTATGGACTAGACATTGTATGCCGAGTATTCCTCGAAAGGCCAGGATGAACCATTCATCATACTATAGGAATCCTCAGCCTGCGAGATTTATATGGTAAGCGTGTTAGTAGACGAAGTTAAATAAGATAAAGTGTTTGGAACAATATAACATTTTGCTCATATTCAAAAGGCCTTTTTACATGGCTGTTGGGATTTGGGAGAAATGGAGAACAGGATAGGAGCAGAGTTAAGCAGCTCACCGCCTCTTGGAGGCTCAATATTTAGGTTTAAATCATGATTAGTTTATTTGATATGCAAGCCAGGTATTATATAGCTAGCACCTGATGCAACCCTTTTTTTAGATAATAATAGACCGGTGTGGGCTTGAAGCCTCCTTCAAAGAGCCATCAGACCACTATTATAAACACAGTTCAAGGTCGAAACAAAACTACTTGAACACATTCAATGTTATTGACCAATACGAAACCTAAAAGGACATCCAAAAGATGCAAAGAACTGCAAAACTCTTAGCTCTAGAAGGTTGCATGCCTACAACCTATTAACTCATCTGCTAACAAAAATATCCTAAACAGCTCAATCTCCTAACAGTTCTACAACAGACTAATCCTACTAACAAACTCCTGCTAACTCATCAAAACCATCCTAGACGCCTAGCCTGCCACCTTGTTTCCTTTCTTGGTAGTTTCTCCCCCACAAAAGTGTCAACAACAGCTTAAAATATCAAAAAGCAAGGCATACCCACACACGATAAATAGGAAAAGACAAATGCACAAAACAACACTCAAAAAATTAATTTCAGGTACTACATTGGTAACACAACACTAGGCAAACCTGTAGCAGAATAGATTGGAATGAATACTATAAACTGTGACCTCCTAACACTAGAAGGTCCATCAACATGTCATATGAATATATTTCCCTTTAGTTGCTTCAACACAAATGCCAAGTAAAACACTCCTTTTGGAGCAAGAGTAGAACCCTAACTACTAGAAAGAGGTTAAGAAGCCTATTAGGTTTAGGAAATCAAAGCTGGCCTTAGTCTAAAATGGCTGTTAGTTAGAATTCAGCAAACTTTAAACAAGTTTGTTAAAGCAGCATAACCGTGCTAGCATACAACATAATCAGTAATCGCTGTACTACAACAACAAAAAAATGTAAATCAACAATTTAAAAATAGTGCTACATACTTAGCTACCCCTAGGCCAAAAAAATTGGATGGTAATTCATAATATCTGGTGAGTGTTAATGTCAAATAAAGAACAATTCCCAACAGTCCCAGCACACAGTAAGCCGCACACAAAGATACACATTTTCAAAACAAGAATGACGGCAACAAACAACACACCAACAATTAACGTTGGCTAGATGTTAGTTATCTTAGAATAAATTGTAGATCTATTTGTGTATCATCATCTTATAATCCATTAATGTTAGCTACCACATGTTTCCTTACCGGTTGAGTAATTAGAGAGACATCATCCATGGGCATGTTTCTGTATATCAAATTATGACAATTATGCTCAAAGGATGCATGTTCATCACGAGGGGCCAGCTCAAACGATTCTGTCTCTCCAGGATAAAAGGGGGAAATGAACAAGCTTCCAATGCCTCCATATTCACCAGATATTAGAGAATGCTGTAAGAAAAAAATGAATGAATTTGCTCCGACTAATAGTGTTTTGTAATATTTTCAGTCAAAAGACTAAGAAAACTTGTAAGGTCCCTTGAGGCTTTTAATTTGGAGATGCATTATCACACCAAGATCGAAGTCAACCTAAGCAAGGCTTGAGCAAAGCTATGACCAGGCCAAGCATGGGATAACCCTGAACCTGGTCCTAATGATAATGTGCCACTCCTAAGTTCAGATTTTCATAATAGTAGACATGTATGTAACTTTCGTTCAGGATAAATCCAAATTGACTAGCAAAATTAGGGGCAAGTTTAGATCCATTCCTAACATTGTCATTCGGTATCAATGTTAGGAGAGAGATGATTGCATTCAATCTCTACGAGTGAAAATCACCACGTCCATTGAACTAGAAGAATTCGCCTCCCTTTGGATCTGATTGCAAGATGTGTGCAACTACAATCGAACCTAGAAGACCAAATCACGTGGAAGTGGACCAAAGATGGGCAATACACCACCAAGTCGGCTGACCATGCTCAATTCAACGGCTGGTTCTGCAGGTACAAAACCAACATCATTTGGCGTGCCCATGATGAAAACAAGTGCAAAGTCTTTGCTTGGATTCTCGTCCAAAACAAAATCCTTACGGCGAACAACCTCGCCCTACGCGGATGGTCCCACCAGAGCTCGTGTGCTCTATGCAATGGCCTGCTAGAAACAGGAAACCACCTCTGCCTCACCTTCCCTTTGCCCGAGCTACATGGATCATAGTAGCGAATTGGAAAATCTTAGTAACATCCAGCAAATCCTACAGGCAAGTTCGGACAGTGTGGCTAATTGGTGGGAATTGGCCCTGTCCTCAGTCCCAAAAAAAAAAAAGACAGGAGTTTAATGGGTTGGTCATCTACGTCATGTGAAACTTGTGGAAGGAACGCAACCGCAGGATTTTTTATAACATATACTCCACAGCCACCCGGGTAGGAGGGCGTGTCAAGGATGACATGGTGCAATACAAAAGGGCTTTTACAACTATGCAACGTTAGCGCTCCTGTTGTCATTACTTTGGGGCCGCGAGGCCGTGTAGTTCCTCCAAAGCCGTGAGGCCAGTCTGTACATAAAACCTCTTTTATCTCTTAATTAGCTGCCATTGTGTTAAAAAATGTTAGGAGAGAGGATGCTTCGTTTGGTATGCGCAAGGAGTGCAATTATTTCCTTGGTTTGAGTGAGAGCCAATCAGAACTAGAAAATCTTTTCTTGTTTCAAGCAAGGCAGATTCTGCAAAGAAACCAAATGTGCCCTAGATTTGACCTACATTGCAGGTTTTACCTGAGAACGTTTATCAAGAAAAGATATTGAAGATTACTCTAAATGCTTGCAAAGATTATAGTAACATTTGCAGACACGCCTGCAGCACGGTGGCTGGGTGCTTCAGTTGGGACGCCTCAAACCTGTTTTGAGCCCAGTGGTGTTGTACTTACTGTGCAAACTGCTTCAGGACCTTTTATAGACCCAGTAATGGTATAGTCTCTTCTTAAGGTGATGCCATGGGGGTGGTCATCCCCACGGTCTAATTTTTTTTTTTAAAAAAAGATTAGAGGTAACACAAATATTACCATATATAAAAAAGGGCGTACCCAGTGCAGAGAGCTCCCGCTCTGTGCGGGGTCTAGGGAAGGGTGTTAGTGGCAAGCCTTACCCTCGCCTGTGCAATGCGAGGAGACCGCGACTTGAACCCGGGACCTTCCGGTCACAGGCGGTAAGACTCTACCGCTTGCACCAGGCTCGCCCTTCACAAATATTACTATATATACCGAGGACAAAAATACTCACACTAAAGAAAAAACTAAACAACCAGATAAAACAGATATATGCAGATTATGTACTTACTTTATCGTTTTCAAGAGCATTCCCTTGCGTATAGGCATCATAAAAACCCCAATTCTGAGAATATGATGGCTTAAAAGGTTCAAGTGGTAGATCATATGTCCTTGTATAGGACTGAATGTTGTGTGCATGTGCCGGAGTTTCCAAAATGTGGATATCACTTTGGTCGTGATATGTTGAAAAATGCTACACCAGAACCAAAGGTATCTTAGAAAATAATTGAAGCAATATCGAGGAACATATTAAGTATATTACTTCGAAAAAAATCTTGAAAAAAGTCACTATACTTCAGTGAATTTTTTCAGCTGTCCAGATATTCCCTTAAACTTTGTTTTTGTCTCACTTTACCCTAGGGTACTTGTACAACTGAAAATTTCATAAGAGTAAAATGGGCTTTATAGTCCCAAAAAAAATCTATAAGAGACAAATTCCTAATGCACATTTAACCCATTACTACCATGCTTCCTAATAACTAAGTTGTAAATCAAATGCTTTAACGAACCTCATAGTACTCCAACCTCTCAGAAGATGATGGTTCCGGGGGTTCAACCTGGACATCTAGTGCTTGTATATAGCAGTGATGGTGATAACAATGAATAGGTTGATCAGATATCTTGCACTCAATATCGTAGGACAACGCCGCCTACATTTCAAAAAAAAAAACATGAGATCAGAGACTGACCAAAACCAATACTAAAGATACATATGAAAGGGGATGTGAACAGCATGGTCTCTTGTAAGCATAAAAAAAAAAAGTTCCTATTAGACTAAAAAACAGTTGCAGAATACTTGATTTTATTTAATTTTACATACTGTCTCTATCTACTTATGATTATGTTTTCTTGAATCTTGAGTTCTTGTTACAGTAAATAAAAACCTATAGGAAGTTCACATTGTCCACTCAGAAACGTACCTCACGCTGAAATTCCTCTGCTTGATTAGACTCTGAGTAGCTGAAATTGAGAAACCAATCTGGCTTGCCCAAAACACCATGAAGACCATAAGATTGCGCAAAAGAAGGTGTATAGTATGAATTGGACATTGACTGGCTGTAAGTATCGGCCTCATCTCTGTTGTTACTATGCCACGATAAGTCCTGTTTCCAAACAATCAGCAGTTATAGTCACAGTAGAACATTTACAGGTACCGCAGGTAAACACGAGCAATGTACGCACATATTCACTCATTCAGTTCAGTCAAATTGTTGCCCCCATCAAGTTTATGCAATATTTTGACAAATAAGTGGTAGCATCATGATCAGCTGTTGCACTTGCACGTTCTGAGAAAAGAGCCAAGCATTTTAAGAGTTGGTCTTTATTGAACTGTCATAACGCATTCAAGGAGACAAGAACGTAGCCTAATAAACTGTAATATCCTCATAACCTCGTCATACAAGCAAGAAATGGGTGCAAATTCAGTCAAGTGGTTAAAGCATCAGCAAAATATACGTCAGGAACATAATTTAAAACTCAACCTAATTTCCTCATAAGTTATGGAGGAAAAAGTTTGCGATAATACGATATGATGAACAAATTCCTCAAATAAATCATTACAGTGCACTCGGAACGCATGATATCAAACGTTGAGACTTGATACAGCATCCTGGAGATAAAATGCAGATGTCAGTAAGTATGCGTTCAGAAAGCAGTTACCCACATTGGTCTGAACCAGTTCCCCAGTGGCATCGTCCGCCTCCACTATTCCCACCGCCACCGACGGTGGCACCACTTCAACCTCGACGGAAAAGGCATCCTCCCGCTTTCTTTCCTGATCGCACAAACAGGAACCATGTAACTGTCCACCACAATCCGCCGTTCCTCGTACGGGTCCTTGTAGCAGAACAAGTAATCCAACACCCGCACGCACTTCTTCCAGAAGCCGCGCCCGTACCGCCTGCCCCTCCGCGCCTTCCCTTCCCTCGCCGCCCCGTTCGGCGGGATTTCGTGTGCCAGACCCCGCAGCGCTTCCTCAGTGCCATAGGGTTTCTCTGGCCGAGGATCCTCTGGCTCCGGTGTGGGCGAAGGCGGCGAGGGGATAGCGGGGCGGCGGTGGCGGCGGTGGCGGCAGAGGAGGAGACGGGGTAGCATATGTTGGAGGACGGCGGGAGAGGAGTTCCGAAGGTGGCGGCGAGGTCGTAGCCGCCACGGTAGGGGTGGGGATTGAGCTCCCCAAAGAAATCGTCGTCGTCCTCGTCTAGGAGGAAGTCTCCGGCGTCGGCGGGGGCCATGGTTGATCGGTTGGTGCTCCAGTATTGGGGCGCGAGGCGATGACGCGGGAGTGGAGCGGAGCGGAGAAGGTAAAGGAGCAAGAGAAGATGAGGAGGATGGCATGTTGCTTTCCGGTGACGGCGATGCGGTTGGGAGCTTGTGGATGGCGATGGCGTCGGGTGGGGAGGACGCGGGAGGGACTCGCCGTTTCCGGAATGGGACGGATTTTGATTTTTGAGAATATACCGAGCTGCAGATTGGTTAGTCTTTCCACCGGGGCCTACGTTTTCAAACTCGTGGGTACAGGTTGGCCCGGTCCAGAATAGGCCTAGACCCGAAGCCCATTCAATATGTTAATTTACAAGCGTTCCTTGACCGAAGCCCATTCAATATGTGAATTTACAAGGGTTTTCTCTATCTTTTTTTCTTTTTCAAATATTTTTCAAATCTATACGTATACCTCCGAATCTCCGCCGATTAAGCCTCCCAAAAAGATGGTGGAATGGTAAAGCCATCGGTAACGACCTTACCGCCGTTTAACTCATCGTCGACGTGTGCCGGTAGGCAGGTTCGCTTCTAAAATTTGTCATACCAAATATTTAGCAAGTTAAAAGTTAGGTAAAAATTATCATAGATTTCACAAGTTAAATGTGAGAGTTTGAAAAATTTTGGTAGCAAACCAAATACTAGTAAAATCACGACTCGTCAAAATCTTTGGCATGATAAATTTTAAAAGCGAACCAATCAGGCCCTTCCCGCCGATGGTTTGGCAGTAAGCCATTTATTCATTCAACGGTAAGGTTTTTTGTGAATTTTTTTTCGCAATTAGTTGATCAAATTTATTTAGCATATGAGCAAAATTTGAACAGAGGTAGTTTTATAATAGGTAATGCTATAGATCGGGCGTCCGGGCTTCGGACACACCGTTCCCCCCGCACTCGCACTTCACCCGCTCTGCCCGCTGCCCCGCAGTCGCACTCGGCCCGTTCCCCCGCCCTCGCTCTCTCCCGCACTCGCTCTCCGCGCCGCTTTCCTGCCCGCTCTTCGTGCCGTCGCCACGCGAGCTCCCTCTCTCCGTCCGTCCCTCGCCCCTCCGCAACCTCCCCTCCCGCCCGCCCGCCCGTGCTCCCTTCCTCCCTCCATGCACCCCCACTCTCCCTGCGACCCGGCTCCCACACCCCACCGGAGACGAGGACGACGACGGCGGCTCCGACGAGGTAGGTCGCGGAGGGATCTGGATCTGAGGCCTTGCTCCTCCTCCTCTGGATCTAGATCTGAGCCCTCTCTCCTCCTCCTCCTCCTCCTCTAGACCTAAGGGATGCGGCGGTGGCTAGGGTTTCGGCGAGCTCTCGAGGGTCAGATCTCGTCGTGTTGTAATGGTTTTTTTATGTTGCAATAGATGATTTCGAATGTTGCAATGGGATTTGTTTGGGTTGTTGCAACAGATGTTTTTTGCGATGTTGCGGTAGTATTGCTTGAGATGTTGCAGTATGTTTTAGTTGCTTCAATCTCATGTTGCAGTAGGTGTTCCATGTTATTGCAAGTGTTTTTATTTCGAGCGGTTTCATATGCTTCAAACCAGTGTTGCAATAATATGTTACAAATGTTTCAGCTCCTTCAACCTATTGTTGTAGGAGTTTGTTCAGTGTTGTTGCAATAATATGTTCATGGTGTTTCAGCTGCTTCATCCTAATGTTGTAGCTGTTGTTCCTTGTTGTTGCAATAATATGTTCATGGTGTTTCAATTGTTTCAGCATAATGTAGCAGTAGTTGTTTCCGTGTTGTTGCACATGTTTTATTCTAACTTTCTATGTTGTTCGGCCAGAGGGCGAGCTAGGCGGCCGGGGGCGCATGGCTCGCCGGAGGGATAGTGGACAAAATCGTTGAAGCGCGGCGGATGGGGGTGTGCTGGTCGAGGGGTGATGGGGCATGCTCATGTATGGGGCGGTGAAGGCGACTGTGGCGGGTGTAGGGACGGGCTCATGGCGTCTTGTGCATGAGCGACAAGCGACAAGCGTGTGGGGGAAACGAGCAGAGAAGAGAAACGGGAGGAGCAGCGTGCGGGGCTTGCGTCCACGGCGGGCGTTCCGGGGGGGGGGGGTCCTAGGTGCGTCCGGACGGGCCCCTGAATCCGGGCACTAGGAGCGCCGTTTTATATGTAATATATCCATAGTTCACCTTGGTTGTGGTGAATGTTTTGTAATGCAGCATGATTTTCACTTCATCGCATGAATTTTTTTTTATCCTGGCACCTAACTGACTTAAGCCAACATAGTTTTTATTGAAATTATAGTCACTGCCTTAATCAAATATACATGGTACAGCAGAATTCAACCATGAAACTACATAAAATCAAACACAGTTGTTTATTACAAAACCAAGCACATATGCTCCAACCCAACAAGAGTTCAGACTGCAATAAAAGAAAGGAGAAGAAAGAAGCTACACTTCAATTCTATTCCTAAATTTCCTACCTAACTTCATGAAAACCTCCATGATTACTGACAATCCGCATCCATTTTCTAGGTTTGATCTCACCTCTTCTTTATGTAGTAGGGACTATTGGATTCGTTATTTACGTAGTAGGCACCATTGCCAAATCCAATATATTGCCCTGAAGATAACCTGCAGAAATGTATTAGGTTTAGAATTATTGAATACCATATCGTTTTTACTCAGCCACATAGCCCAACATAAAGCAGCAACTCCTACAAATATTTGATTTCTAAGTTTCGACCGAATGGCATTCAACCAAGAATCAAACATGTTCACAAAGCTAGAAGGGGGCTGAATTCCAAAGGTTATATAAACTGTATTCCGAATAAACCTTGCAAAGTGGCAATCAAAGAAAAATGTTATATCGTCTCCATAGAGCTACAAAAACAACAATTGAGGACAGCTATATGTATAATGCCCTTTCTCATGGCATTTCAAGCAGATGACATCAGATAGCTCCAATTCTCCAAGTGGCTCCTTCTCGGGGCAACCATTCATATAATGGCCTTTGTTATGACATTTGAAGCAGATGACATCAGATAGTTTCAATTCTCCAGATTTCCCCTTCTTGGGACAGGTATCTGATTCGTGGCCTTTCTTATGGCATGTGAAACAGGTGACATCACATAGCTCCAATTCTCTGGCTGGTTTTTTCTTTGGACAGGTGACATCATGTAGCCCTAATTCTCCAGAAGGTTTCTTTCTAGGACACCCACGTGCATAGTGCCCTTCTTCATGGCAGTTGAAGCAGGTGATTTTTGATGCTAGCATTGTTGCCTTGTTCTTCATTGTGGCATGGTTGGTCTTATCAGAGTCTGTTACCTCACTTCTCATGGGGTTCTTCTTCGCAGAATGGCCCTGCCCATTACTACTGCTGAAGTTTGAGACCTTGGGCACTGCTTTATAATGTGGCAATTTTCCAGATGGCTTCACTGGTGTCAATGTTCTGCTACTTGTTTCTGTCATTAACTTATTCAGCGTGGCACGTAAACTTTCTCGATGATACTGAGTTGCTATAGTGAGGATTGGACTTAAGCGGCACTGAGCAGGCACATGATGTTTCCCCTCACAAAGGAAACATGTAATTTTTCCCATAGGACAATCTCCGAGTAGATGGTTTGTATCACAGCTGGAGCAACTGATTTCCCTATTATGACTGCACGTTTCGCCAAAATGACTGAGCTTCTTATTGGCGTAGTGCCCTTTTTCGCCACAACGATGGCAAGCAAGATTCTCTGACACATTCTGTCGACAACACCACAAATGACAGTGGCCAGCCTTGTTACAAAGAGTGCATATGACCTTTTCCTCTTGATCCTTCATGGGGCAATCACAAGTGTAATGCCCTTCTTTGCCACACACCATGCAGGTAATCTTCCCCATTAGTCTGTCCTTGACATACTGGCAGGCACCGTCGGGAGAAGGTAGCTCAGTTGTATGAATATTTTCTATTTCATGCTGGCAAATGGGGCTTATTTGAACGGCTTGTGTGGTTGCCTTCCGCTTTCTTCCTTTGTGAAGCGAGTCTTCATCTTTTATGGGCTCTTGTGAACTTGAGAAAGTGGGTGACCCAACGCTCATTGGTTTAGCAATATGGGACTGTGAATGGGCTGCATGGGCAGCAGTTTTGGGAGCACTATTTTCATTATTACTGTTTGGAGTTTGATGCATTGCATGCATCAGTTTTGTTTCTGTTGCTCAAATCTGATGCAGCATTGCTGGCAAAGCTGTGGAGGCAATAGCTTACTGATTGCAGTGCAGCGAGTGTTCTCCACCTGACAGATTGACCAAAATGGTTAGTAGATGACAAATGGAAGCATCACAGAAGAGAGTAATAGGTCTACAGTTCAACTTAAGCAGAGGCTGGAATAACACATCTTGCAACTGCTCCATATAATGCACTAATCAATGACAATAATCCTTACTGTGACTGCTGAATGCACACAACGGCATGTCTATTTGTTGAAGGACAGTCACCCATGCTCCATCCTGTCCAGAGCAAAACAGGCCCAACCCTAGTGTCATGTATCACAATTCACAGTCACTTCTAATCCTAGACTAGATCCACAATCACTTGCGCTCATCGTTGACAAGATAATAAACCTCTAATGTGCTTTATGAAAATGTCTAAATGAAACATTAGGGCTTATTATCTTGTCAACAGTGAATGCAACTGTGCGAGTGATCATGGGATCTAGGATTAAAGATGGCCTAAAGATATAAACTAATGGCAAAGTTCCAATTTGCAGCCCGTAATTGAACAATGAATCATCTCACAGATTTGATCAAAGGATACAGGATCAGCAAAACCACAAGCAATATGTTATTGATGGTGACAAGGTGCTCCTTCTTGCCCTTGGGGTAAGAGGAACATATGTGGCAGAAAAAGAAAACAATGCACAACGTTGAAGCCAAAATACAGCTGCTTGAATCATTCAAGTCAAAAGGCATTTATATCAATATGAATAGTGTATCTGAATTATCCTTTTTGTTTTCCAAGGATGGAGTCGTGTGTGCTGCTTAATCAACAAATGGGTTCCAATTTACTCATGAATTTCTGGCTGAAAAGTTTGATGACTATGCATTAAACAGGCAACTCTGCATTATAAGCTCACATATGTACTTCAGAGTGAGATGAGAAGGTTCTGTTTCCAATAACTTGTATTTTTATTTTGAAAACTAATGAGCAACCTCTATCACATGAATTCAGTACTTAATATATGCTACAAAAGTGACAAATCCAGATTTCTTGACAGTCACAAATGATGTCCAGCAAAGAAACTTTGTGACAGTTACAAAAGATGTCCAGCAAGGAAACATGGGTGGTGCTTCAGTGACAACAAGAATAATAAATGGATGGCACGATAGTTTCAGCATGTCAGCTTTAGAGTCAACAGGCATATCTATAACCAACATGCAAGATCATCTCTATATGTTTCATCGTTCTCTCTTCTAGTTCTTGATGATGTTGAGCTAGGGAATCAACGTACCTCGACGAAGACGCGGAAGACTTGTCAACGACGTCTTAGATTGGAGGCCGCGGCGGTGACGAATGCACTGGTAGACGATGCAGCGCCAGTCAGAGCACGAGACTTAGAGGCGCTTCGCACCGTCCGCAGATGACGATGGGCGCAATGGCGATTTACCGGTGGCACATCGTGCCTGGCGACCGATGCGGCGGTGGCGCCCAAAGCGGAGAACACCCACAGATATGGATTGGAACGTATCCGCCCAAGACTAGATGGGTGGGCCTGCCAATCCAACGATTCTTCTCACTCGCGTCTTCTTTCCCTGATTCTCACCGCGAGCGACTGCAGGCGAGCTCGGTGCGGGCGAGCGGCGGTGCGGACGAGCGCGGGGAGCAGCTGGCGACGAACCAGCGAGGATGCGGGCGGCGCGGCCTACGAGCGCAGATGCAAGCGGCGGCGCTGGAGAATTTCTGGGGGTGTTCGCTTCAGACAACCTCTTTGACTAGGGAGCAGGGACGCCTCCACGGCTCCACCTGCTTTTATCCGCCAGCGCAAATACAAAATAGGGTTTTTTTTACAACATACAAAATAGGTTGGATACTTCGATACGAAAAGGAACGCCAAACCGAATGGGTTCGGTTTTGCTTCTCCTTTCAGGGCGTGTTCGGAACGGAGGGGTTTTGCTTCTCCCTTCAGGCATGTTCGGAAGGGAGGAAAAAAACAGAGGAAAATGAGAAAATACAGGAACAGAAAATAAGTCCAGATTGAGAATAGATGATCGAAAAAGTATGAGAATTTTATAAGAATGGATGTTTGAACATATGAATATAAGAATATGTTTATTCCTCCATTCCAGTGAACAAGAGTTTGCTCATCTCTCCATTCACACGTAGAAATTTTTTTCAAGAGCTTGAAGTGGATATTTTATTTCCTCTATTTCATAAAGAAAAGCAGGCCTTTCCTATGAAAAGAAAAATTTCATTCCTCCGTTCCAAACACCATGTGACGTAAGCAAAACATAGGAGTTGGATTCCTTCAAAATTCCTATGAAATTCCTCCAATCCAAACAAGCCTCATCCTTCTTCCTTGAGATGGTTTGGTTTGATTTCTAATCTTCATAATTCTTCTTCGCGGTGGTGGGTTTGGTTTCTTCTCTAATTTTCTTCACAATCACAAAAATACTTTGTAAGTAAGAACCGATTTTTATTTTAGGTTCAGTTCTTCCCCAAGAGTAGAGTTTAGTTATGCATCGATTCTTCAGCTAATACTATGTCAGTCAGTTGGATTTAGCCACGGGAGAGGACCTTAGGTGACATTTGGAGTATGGGATAACATGAATGGAAAACGAATACGATATCCATAAGATTGGAGTGGGATATATATATTAGATTTAGGTTTGAATAGAAAGGCATTGTATCTAACAAAAACTATTAGAAAATGTGGGTTACTGTAGGGATAAAAGTTACGAGACAATACATGTACGTAATCACCCTAGGTGGGTGGCCGAAAGTCAGGAGACGGTGGGTGAACTTGAGTTGGTAGTCCAAGGACACACAACACGTAGCCTAGATGCCCAGTAGAGGCATTGTAACTGAAATGTACCCCCTCCGTCCCTTAATATATGTTGTCGGAGGACTAAAGTCTTGTCCCCGAATAGCTGTCTCTCCTATTAATACATGTCCACAAGTAGTTGTACCATCCTGCATCAAGCACATGTCTCCCCATCCAAGAGGCGGCTTTAACCATTTTCCCTCACATTGTAGACTTGTTCATTTAATGGTGCAGCTATTAAAAGGATTGTTGTAAGTAGGGGTGTTTGAGTCTTTGCAAATGTTCTTGGTAACTAACCCCAAGGCTACAACGACTGATATAAAGGGACGGAGTAGGCCACAGGCTAGACCAGAGGCGAAAGGGAAGTATCGTGCGGAAGTAATCACGACCACATGGAGATTTCGGCGCATTGGGCATCTCAAGATTGACAGAATCCTCATCGCTTCACCAAGAATGTCTAGAGCTTCACCGCCATGAGGGTGGGTAGTCGAAGTTGCTCGTCTTTGATAGAGCCTGGTTGGTAGAGATTCTTGAGCAACTTCTATAGCAATTGGGAGCACATTTTACCGAACGGTGGAAACCAAAAAAAATTCTCGCCTAGAGCTCTTTTTTGCGCTCTCACAAAGCACTGATGTGGCATGGAGCCAAAAAAGGCATCCCCCTCGCTCTGTTTGCCATGGTGCAGGCCTGTACCTTTTGCCCTGGCCATAGGCGAAGCATGGATGCGGTCGTGGCTAGGGGCGGCAACGCAGAGGAGGGGACCGGCACGGACGAGGGTGAAAGCTCGAGTTTGATTTTGGATAATTGATGAAACCCTAGGACTAACTTTTGATCTAAGTGTGTGAATTAGATGAGGTAGTCTAATCCAAGAGGTGGAGCTAGATGATGGCCATGGTGAAAGTGATGGCCACAAAAAGATGGATCAAGTGCATCACGTTTAGAAAAGAAGAAAGAGAAAAACAAAAATGGGCTCAAGGCAAAGGTATAAAGATAGGAGCCATTTTTAGTTTGCACTCAAGACACCATAGAGGGCATGAGTGGTTTAGGATTGATAGTCGTAATATTAGAAGAAGAATTCTCATGGTTGATATGATTGTCAAGTGCCACTAGGTGATTGAATTCTATGCATGTGCATTAGGACCTAGTGTGCTAACAATTAACCCTTGAAAATGCTTTGAAAATATGCTAACACACGTGCACAAGTGGTGAGACACTTTGGTGTTGGCACATAGAAGCAAGGGTGTTGAGAAAGGAGTTGATCGTGTTGGTCACTGGGTGACCGGACGCGTCCAACATAGATATCGGATGCGTTCGGTGTGCAAAACTCGTGCAGGTGGCGTAGATGTGACTGGACATGTCCGGTATTTGACCCCGACGTGAGAAGTTAAGGCAGGGATGACCGGACGTTGGGCTACGTTCGTTCACGTTCGATCTGATGCATTAGGTCATGCCCTGGACCTCTCAGTGTGTTTCCTGATCGTGACCGGATGCTCAGTTCATCGAGTGACCTGACGCTGAGCGCCACGTCCGGTCAGAGGAAGCGATACGCGCAGTGGTGTGGACCTGATGTAGGGGCGCATCCGGTCAGGCATACCGAACGTGTCCGATCTCTCCAGGGCGGCTCTGGGAGCTCTCTAGAGTTGACCTGACGCTACCTCGGCTGCGTCCAATCGTTTCCAAGCGTCGCGTCCGATCCTACGTGTTAGAACAAGAATGAGTTAGGCATTGGGCGCCAAAGGCTATTAGATTTGAAAGCGACATGTGGCAGCCAGGCAGTGACCGGACATAGCGACCGAACGCGTCCGGACGCCATACCGGATGCGTCCGGTCACCTCGCAGACAGCCCAGTGAAGGGGTATAATGGCTAGTTGAGTTGTTGGGGCTCTATAAAAATATGATGGCTGGCTCTTGCTCACTCTCTTGGCTCTCTAACTTGATGATACACCTTGTGAGCATACTCCCATGCCTCCCACTCATCTAGCTTGTGATTTGATCATCCAAAGTGAGATTGGGAGTGATCCAAGTGTATTTGCATTGTGTTTGAGCATCTAGTGGCACTTGGGATCATGTTGGCTGCGGGTCTTCTTATTACTCTTGGTGGTCGCCGCCACCTAGATGGGTTGGAGCAGCGGAGGAGCATTGTCACGAGTTGGTGATTGTTCGTGGTCATCTCCCGATGATTGTGAGGAGTCTTGTACCTTCCCCGATGGAGCACCGAAAGGTAACTCTAGTGGATTGCTCGTGTCATTGAGTTATCTCACTTATGGATAGGTTCTTGCGGTGTCCATTTGTTGGACTAGGTTTGTGCAACACCTATTAGCCGTCGAACCATCAAGTGTTGGTCGACACAACGGGGACTAGCGTGTCGGCAAGCACGTGAACCTCAGGAGAAAAATTATGTGTCATCTTGTGATTGGATTTCTCCCGGTGATT